TGATGAATACATGAGGCATCTTCTGATGAATACATGAGGCATCTTCTACTAAGGAAAAACCACTAATGAGTCAACATGTACGTGGAAGTGAAATGCAGTTACTACAACTGTGTTTGGAGTTGTAGTTTACAGAATGTGAGCTACTCTCCCCGAATACTGATTCATTCAGTTAAATATGCAAATAGAAGACCAAAACCAGTAAAATAAACCATCACTTATTCAGAAGTTCAAAAAAAACTACAGATATTTGGAAACCAGCAAGTAGCAGAACTACTCAGCAGGTAAAGAGATGTGTAGAGACAGTTAATGTTTCAATTCTGGTACAAGGTAATCTCAACCTGAAATATGAACTCTGTTTTTCTTCAAAGATATTTCCTAACCTGCTGTGTGTTTGCAGCTTTTTTTTCTTGTTTTTGTTAACCGTCATTTGTTGTATGGTTCTAAGAATCTGTTTTGGGCTTTCACCCAGCACTCCTGTTATGCTGGTAAAGCATGAGAAAATTTGGGATTCTCTCAGAAAATCAAAGGTGGTAGATATCATTTTCTTGTTTCTGGTGGTCATTGTTTGGGTTTGAAATGCTTTTGCTGAGCAAACTTTCCACGGCTATTTGTTTACCATTGGAAATTAGAATATAGTTAACTTCCTTGTACTAAGGTTTCTGATCCTCTGATCAGGTTGGGAGAATTGTTTTCGACTTATAGTTTTGAGAATCTTGATGTGGAATTGTGCAATGTATTTTGTTTAGTGTTCTGAAAGTGCAAAATATGCAACATTGAGGGATAACATAATTTATTGGATGATCCTGTAATAATTACAGGCTTATTGTTGAGTAACGTTTGATATATGCAAACTTCCTTCCACAAAAATAATAGATTCCTAAATTGACAATACCGAAAGTTCAAGTCGTTCTTTAGCATGGTTAGAATTCAATACAACCTGTATTCACTGATGCTTCATTTATGTTTTCTGGGTTCCTGACCTGCTGGAGTCCACAGTAAATTATAAAGACTTTTTGGAAGTTGATCCTTTGCACAATTTGAGGTCGTTTACTGGTCTGACAGACTGTATACTGGGGATTACTGCAAATAGATTTTAAATGGGCGCTATCTTTACAGTTTTTCTAATTTAATCGTTTTGATAAATGAAATTTACTTAATGTTATCTAATAATTGGGAATTGTTAAAGTACTTAAAATAGATATTGAAACTTTTCATCTTGTGTTCTTCAGGAGCACAATAATACCAAATTTCAAAAGGAATGAAAATCGGTGATTGACCAATCAGCATCCTATACTCATGTAAGCTGTTGCTCCCTTTGAAATTGGTATTCTTGCATCTGTACTGGTGCAAGCTGAAAAGCTTTGACCAAATGTCTTTTTTTCCTTTAGCAATATTCAGGTTAAATTGCTGAGGTGAAAAAAAGGAGGACAAAATCAGTTTTGAATCACTGACTTTTCAGTTTTTGTTCATGCTTGTGGTTTTTCTTAACTTTTCAGTTTGTAATACAATATTTTATTAAAACAGTTCTGCTTTTATGTATCTGTATCTTGAGTTTTTTGTTTATGGCTTAAAGTAGTGCTTATCAAAGTCATACGGTCACAATATACAGAAAAATGAGTAGCGCTGCTGTCAGGTTCCTGTGTTCTGAATATTCAGCTCTGTAACCCTGTCAATGAGTTGGCTCAACAATCCCAATTTGGTGTGTTAAGCCTTCATTGTGACTAGAAGAATGATCCATACACAAAGAAAGAAGGACTTGCATTTATTTAGTACTTTCGTTCTAGGCTTCCCAATCAAAAAGAGCTCTGAGGAAGAATTCCATTGGACTCAAAAAGTTTTTCTCTCAGATACTGCCAGACCTGCCAAGTTTGTTCAGTACTTTGTTTTTACTCCCAATCACTTACTTTTGTAAGCCAATGAAATACTTTAAGTATATTCGCTGTTGTAATGTAAAAACACTACCTCCTGCTAAAGCACTAATATAGCACGTCCATACCACTGACATCATCAAGATATACCTGGACTGCACTGGAATCAGAAGTTGGAATCAAGTGTCTGTTGTTGTTTCCCCCTTTTTCACCACCCTGTTGTCTGCTTGCCATGCCACCCACTCAAATTATATATATAGTGTATTGATGGTAAATGCAGGCTAGACCGACACTCTGTTAGCCATATCAGGTAGGTGTTAAAGATCTGTTGGTATTATCCCCAGTATCCCAACATTTATTTCTCAATCAACATCATTTTAAAAATAACTGGCCATTGTCACTGCTGTATTTGCATTCACTCGATAGGGCCTTGGTTTAACATATCATCCAAAATATGGCACTTCTGCAATGTTCCCAGGGCTTGAGTGCAAAAATCTAGATTGATATACAGAGGTTCACTAAGGAGTTGGCATATTCGTTGAGGGATAAATGTTAAGACACTGGGGATACACGCTGATCACACTGTGGGAAATGCTGCCTTTTGAATGCGATACCAAATTGAGGCTCAACCTCCCTGCTCAGGTTAATATAAAAGACCTCATGGTACTATTAAGAAGAGGAATAAGGGAGTTAGGCCTTCAGTACAATATTTATCCTCAATCATTAACCTAAAGACAAACTATCTTGTCTTTATCACATCTATGATTTTGCAAGTCTGCTGAGCTCAAACTGGCTGCCATATTTCCTACATTATAATTGTGACTGCACCTATAAAAGTACTTCATTGATTGTAACATGCTTTGGAACATCTGGTGTTGGTTTCTTTCTTTTGCAGTACTCGTTCAGTAATTTCACAAGCTTGAAATTGTGTCCTGGTGTGAAACTTGACTGAGGCAAACTACTAATTAACATGGCTGACAGTCTTCAAACAGCAATAAACAATAAAGTTTGTCATCACCCAGTCAAAGCCTCTGGATGCAGGAGGACATGGAAGGTTTTATTCAAAAAAGAAATCTGCTGTTTCATTCTTTTCATGACTCTGCACTTAAGCACTTTTCCTTATTCTGTGATGTGTGAATATTCTTGCATCAGCTGAAACTCACTGTCTAGTTTCAATTCTCCATTCCCTTACAATCTGTCAGTCCAGTCTATAACAGTTGAAGTTATGGTTCTCAGACTTAAGATATTCTACATATCTTGAATTCTGTACTCTGGTTTCACTCAACTTAACAGGTAAGAGGTCTTGCCCCAAAAAAGGTAAGACGTTTCAAAAATGAACTATGGTGCAGAGAGGGGGTGTTGATCATTTGCTGCAACAACTGAATATAGATAACTAATGAATAACTTGTGTTGGGATATAATGTTACAGGTTTGTTTTATATTACAGTTATGACTGTTTATTAGTGTGCCCAACTGTGTCTGCTTACTGCAGTCTTTTCCATTGAATTGTTCTATAATCCTGTTACAAACTGACAAAGCTACCTGAAGGGGCTGTTATGCCACTTAGTTTTAACAGACTTTGATTTCCATTCTGAACAAGACTCCCAAATTGTTTTTACTTCAATGCATGCATACAAGTGTCTAAAGTAATATTTTAGAATTGTGACCATACAGTGAAATGTTTCCCTTTTCTATTATAAAATAGTGACTGGTTGGGCACATTTTACTAACAACAAGTAAATTAATTGCTTTGGAAATTGTAATGTGAATGTTAGGATCATGGGCAGATTTCCTAATTTCTCCTATGGTAATTGAAACTGTATTTCCAAATGCTGTCGTGGTCCTGTGACTGTAACTATTCTTGCCAAACACTGGACGCAGTTGTCATGATGATAATGGAGAGTTCCAGTGAAGACTTAAGCTTGTTTTGACCTGGTCCTTGATTTTCACTGTTAAGTTCTTTGTGAGGGATTGAGCACCACTGTAAATTTTTAATGCTTATGTTAAACGTGGGTTCAAGTGACTACATGTGGGTTTTGTGGGAAACATTGCATTGTAGCCAAACTAAATGATAGCAATGGCAGGGCAGCCTTATGAGAAGAAATTGAGTAGCATAAAGAAGTATCAGATCCAACTTATCTGGCAAAATAGCTTACTATTCCTGGATTATGCTGGAATGTCAGTAAACACCTATTGGTTTTCTCCACTGTAAATTGTCATCTTAACTAATGCCTCCTCAATTTCACTATTTTGCAACAAATATGAGATTCATGGATTTCTTTGTCACAAAGAAATATTAGGTGTTTGTGATAAAGAAATGAAATAATCATGGGTGACATGTTCAAAGTGGGGGGGGAATACGTTGGCCGTACTGCCATGGATGGGGAGCTCATAGAATAGTTTTAGTAGAGTATCTTAGAGCATTACACTTTGGAACTGACTAGAGAGCATATTATATTAAACTTGGTACTGCTTAATGTGAAAGAATTAGTTAACGACCTCAGAGTTCAGGTGCCCCCAGGTAGTAACAACCATCCAGTTTAAAAGGAAGAAGATTGAGATATCAGAAGAATGATATAAACATAAATAATGTCAATTATGTGGCAGGAAAGCTGAGCTAGCTGAAGTGAACTAGCACTCTAGGCTGGGGATAGATCAATAGAGATAGCAGACTTTTAATGGGATATTTCAGAATACTCAATAAGTACATTTCTGCCATTAAGAAAAATTCTAAAGGGAGGTCCAACTATCTGTGGTTAACTGAAGAAGTTGGGAAAGGCATTAAACTTGAGGAAAAAACATAAAACTGCGCAAGGATGTGTGGCAGGTTTATTCACCAACAGCACAGGGCACAGCACTGAGACCTGCCTTCCAGTCACACCTGTCAATCATAAACCTTGCTGCCACTGAGCTGATTTTTGGACACAATTCAGAACTTTCCTCTAGATTCCATGTGCTTTCAATTTACTGCCCTGTCTGCAATGCGGGCTGTTGTTACAGGCCTTGATAAAATTCATGTAGACTACATGCACTACCTTCATCAACTATCCTTGTTATCGCCTCCAAAAAATTCAAGTTAAATCAGATATGACCTTCTCTTAATTTTGACTGAT